TTCAGGGTACCACAGAGCCATTTGTTGACTTTGTGGCCCGAATGCAAGATGCTGCCGATAAGATATTTTCTGATCCGGGAGTGGCTCGACCGCTGGTAAGGCAGCTGATTTTTGAGCAATGTACAAAGGAGTGCAAGGCAGCGATAGCTCCTCATAAGAACAAGGACCTCAACGCCTGGATTAGGATATGTAGAGAGATAGGGGGGCCGCTCTCCAACTCGGGAGTGGCTGCTCTCCTGGCCGCGGCTGTACAGCAGAGGGGACCTCGCGGGTTAGAAGGGGAATGTAAGGCTAAAGGGTGTTTTGCCTGCGGGGAGCCAGGACACATTAAAAGTCATTGCCCAAACAATGCAGATGCTAGGCCTCGCCCTAGGAATGAAGAACCATATGTTTGTGGGCGATGCAAGAGGGGATCACACAAAGCTGAGGAGTGTAGGTCGGTCTTTGATGCTCAGGGCAACCGTATTTGTGGACGAGATGCTAGAGGGCCAAAAAACGGCCAGAGGGGGCCCCCTTCACAGGCGGGCCCCCGCCCCAGAGACAGGACAGCTCAGGATGGCAGCCTTCAACAAGGGCCACCCCTGGGTCAGCAGGTGTGGACCTCAGTGTCGCCTCCAGACTTATATTAGTGCCTGATATGGGTGTTCGAGTGGTTGAAACCACCTTTAAGGGACCGTTACCCGAAAATTCCGTGGGTCTGGTGATCGGGAGATCCTCCACGGCCCTTCGGGGTCTCATAGTAGTCCCGGGGGTCATAGACTCAGACTACACAGGACACATTAAAATTATGGTTCAATCTCTTGTGGGTACTATGGTAATCAATAAAGGAGACAAGATAGCGCAGCTCTTGCTGCTCCCCAGTCTCCACAAGAGATTCCCCTCAAAGCAGAAAATTAGAGAAAGTCAAGGTTTCGGTTCCTCAGGGGAAGTCTTCGAGGGACTCCATATAATACTTGATAAAAGGCCCATGCTCTCACTTAAGGTCAATGGCAAGAATATAACAGGGCTCCTAGACACAGGAGCTGACCGTTCCATTATCTCTAGAAAGGATTGGCCCTCCAACTGGCCCACCAACACTGCAGATAACACGCTGCAGGGCCTGGGGACGGTGTCAGCTCCTCAGGTTAGTGCTTCAACCCTGTTCTGGTGCGATGAGGAGGGTCATCAGGGCCATTTCCAACCATTTGTGTTGCAGTTGCCAGTGTCTCTATGGGGAAGGGACATCCTCACTCAGATGGATGTCACGCTTACATCAAACTGCTCCCCCCAGGCTAAGGATATACTCAGGAACCAGGGATATACCCCCAGCAAAGGCTTGGGCAATGCCCTACAGGGTCGGACATCCCCAATACCAGTAGAGAACAAAAAAGGTAGGCAAGGGCTGGGTTTTTCTTAGGGGCCGCTGAAGAAGCTCTCCTACCCACTTCGATCAAAATCACCTGGAGGTCAAATGATCCGGTTTGGGTACCTCAGTGGCCCCTGCCTAAGGAGAAGCTATTAGCCTTGTCAGAAATAGTCAGTACACAACTTAGATTAGGACACATTAAGCCGTCAACCTCCCCATGGAACACCCCCATTTTTATAATTAAGAAAAAGTCTGGCAAATGGAGGCTGCTCCATGATCTAAGGGCGGTCAACGCGCAGATGCAGTCCCTGGGGGCGGTCCAGAGGGGGCTGCCAGCTCTCTCAGCCATCCCTCAGTCCTGGCCAGTTTATGTTATAGATCTTAGAGACTGTTTCTTCTCAATCCCCCTGCATCCAGAGGACACTCATAGGTTCGCCTTTACTTTACCCACCATTAACCAAGAAAGCCCTGATCTCAGATACGAGTGGATAACGCTGCCCCAAGGTATGGCCAACAGTCCCACTATGTGTCAGATTTACCTTGATTCCCTACTGGCCCCCCTACGGAAATCCTTTCCCAAGATAAGATGTGTGCATTACATGGACGACCTTTTGCTCAGCGGCAGGGACCCAGACATGCTAAATAATATGCTCGGCCAGTTGGTCGAGGCCCTGAGACAAGCTAATCTGCATGTTGCCCCCGACAAGATTCAGGGAGGAGAAATGGTGACCTACTTAGGCGCGAAAATCTCCCCTATGCTAGTCTCTCCACAGAAGGTCACCATTAGGACGGATGGCGTTAGGACCCTAAATGACATGCAAAAGCTATTGGGAGACATTAATTGGATTAGGCCATATTTACATATACCAAATTCAGATCTCAAACCCCTGTTCGACCTTCTAAAGGGAGACCCAGATATAGCCTCCCACAGGAGGCTCACTCCTGAGGCAAGAGCTGCCTTACAGAGAGTGGAAAAAGCCTTAGGTGGGGCTACCTTACACAGAATTGAACCAGGGCGACCCTTTGATGTCTGTTTGCTACAGACTAGTCTACAGCCCACAGCGGTGATTTGGCAGAAAGGACCATTACTGTGGATACACCCTAAGGTCTCACCTGCAAAAGTCATAGAGCATTACCCGGAGGCAGTCGCTTCATTGGCCCTTGAAGTGCATGATAGAGCTGTCCAACATTTTGGCTCAGGACCACAAGCCATCCGAGTACCCTATACCGCCAGCCAGATCAAGACCCTGGCTGCCTGCATAGATACATGGGCCATTCTGAGATGTGTTTTCCATGGGGATATAAACAATCAATACCCTAAAGACCCTATCTTGTCATTTGTCACTCAGCACCCTATAATTTTTCCAAAGGTTACTGCCTCTGAGCCATTAGTCCCAGCAACTACAATATACACAGATGGCTCCAAGACGGGGATAGGCGCCTATGTGATCCTAGGCAAGCCCCCGGTTACCATACAATTTGAACCTGATCAGCCTCAGGTGGTGGAACTGCAGATCGTTAAAATGATTCTTGAACGGTTCTCAGAAGCCATTAATATTGTCTCCGATTCTAGGTATGTGGTCAATGCTATGCAAGTGCTTGAGACTGCCGGTTTAATTAGATCCACTTCCACAGTGGCTGGGCTGTTCCTGTCTATCCAGACATTGCTTCAGAACAGACACCATAAGGTCTTCACCACCCACATAAGAGCACATACATCCCTGCCGGGGCCCATGGCACAGGGGAATGCGGCTGCTGATACTGCCACTCGCCCGTTATGGATTTTTACCTTACTAACACCAATCGAGCGAGCCCGTGCCTTCCATGATAAGTTTCATGTCAATGCCAGGACACTAGCAAACCATTTCCATGTTTCCAGAGCAGATGCACGAGATATCGTGCGACTATGTGACTCCTGTGCCACATACAAACCTGCCATACCGATGGGAGTAAACCCTCGAGGTTTGATCCCTGGTGATGTTTGGCAGATGGACATCACACATATACAGGAGTTTGGGACTCTTAAATATGTTCATGTTTCCACAGACACCTGTTCTCACGTCATATTCGCAACAGCAGAAACAGGTGAAAAAGTGTCTAATGTGATCAATCATTGCCTGGCGGCTTGGGCCGCATGGGGCAAACCAAAAATATTAAAAACTGATAATGGACCAGCCTATATAGGCAAAGCCTTCAATGAGTTCTGCAAAATGATGGAGGTTCAATTAAAACATGGTATCCCATACAATCCCCAAGGTCAAGGAATCATTGAGAGGGCTCATAGAAGCCTCAAAGAAATTTTACAAAAACAAAAAGGGGGAGTAGGCCAAGGCCTGGCCCCAAAGGCACGATTATCCATGGCACTATTCACACACAATTTTTTAAATTTAAATAATGATAATTGCTCCCCAGCCGTGGAGCACTGCAACCCTTCCCCCAACCATAAAGGGTGGGTGAAGTGGAAAGATGTCCTGACAGGACAATGGATGGGCCCGGATCCAGTGGTCAGCTGGAACCGAGGCGCGGTTTGTGTTTTCCCACAGGAATCGGGACGAGAACCACTGTGGGTACCGGAGAGACTGACACGGGCGACAAAGCCCTCGACTGAAGATCAGACCTGCCCTACCGGAGATCCATCACAGACCAACCAACAAGATGAATAGAAATAGCGATAGCCCGAAATGGACAAGAAGATCCTCAGGCATATGCATGGCTCGCTCGCCTAGCCTACGACCGAGTCTAGGGGTGGTGAGCTTCCCACACTCCTCCTCTAAAAAATTATGACATAGCTGGGTAGGAGAGTCAATGACGGGTAAGAGCGTACTCCCCCGGTGCGACTCAACCTAAGCCAGGCCCTACCCCATCCTGCACGTAAGCCGCTGGACTGTTAGATGCTGCCCAGGTCTAAATTTCTCTCCGAGGGGATTTCTTTACGGAGAGGAAATGAGTGCAAGCTTGTGTGCATCCAGGTTCCGTCCAGTTTGTGCCTGGCCCTAGAAAAAGGACGAGGGCCTCAGGGCCTTGGCAGACCATGGGACGGCCGACCAGGGTCTAAGCCAAGGACCTACGGTGGGCCTTCGCATAGGGCATAAGCCTCTGCACCCAGTCCAGGAAGGGCTACGATGCGCACATTTATAAAAAAAATAAAAAAGGGGGAGATGTTGGGAGCCGCAGCCCCGAGCCCGGTCGCCTCACTTGGCGGACGTGAGGCCTGTAGTAAAGAGTAAAGCCTGAGGTAGATTACCCCTCCCATCGAGCACGTTAGTTTCCTGCTTACCGCGTAAGCAACCCGCTCAACAATATAGTCTGCCTGGCAACTGATGATGTTAGCCAATCAGCTTGCCTTGCTTACTTTAACATGATTGGACACTGTATCCGTATATATACTGGTGCCACCCCTGGGGGGGAAGAAGAAGCCCGGAAGTAGAAGCCTAGAAGGAGCCGCGGGGAGCGGACCAAAGGAGGCTTCGGCTGGGAGCGATCCCAGGGCAGGCTGTACGGAGAAGGAAAATAAAAGAAAAGGTTGTCCACTGCCAGACTTTGTCGTGTGTCCTTCCTGCCGGCCGGGAGCGACATCGACAGGGACTTTAGACTATGCTATCCTCAAGAGCTAGGGATCTCTTGTCTTCTTTACCAGAAGATACATACTCATCTCTTTTGGTCTCAGTTCAAATGTCATCTGCTCAAGAATACTCCTCATCCCCCATCTAGACCATGTTCCCCTACTCTACCTCATCTAACTGCATGGTACTACCCAGATTCGTTCTTGATCCTTTTATTCTTTTTTTTTTTTTTTTTTTTTTTTTGAGACAACATCTTGCTATATAGTTCAGGCTGGCCTCAGACTGGCAGCAACCCTCCTTGCTTAGCCTCCTGAGTGCTGAGATAATAGGTATGTGCCACTATACCACACCATCTGGTATTTGGTACTGTTTGGTGAATGAATGTATAGTTTTGTTTGAAGATTTCCTGGCAATTTCAATTTGTTAAACTGACATAGTTCTGTGGATCCAATTTCTTTTGATAGTAAATATCAATATAGTAATGTTTTACTTCAGTTTGGTCAGTATGGTCATTCATGTAAACCTTTTCACTGCAAAGATTCTAGTGCATCACTCTAGGACTTAATCCACACCGTAACCCAAGAAAATGAACATATTCATAATATTTTGCAACCAGTCTCAGAGAGTTAGTCCACAGCATTAAATATAGCGTAAAACAATTAGGTCTTGAGCCTTAGTACCTTTCCATGTTATCTACCATTCCATGTCATTTTAACTCGGCCATATAAAACGCCATAATTTCTTACCATAAGTATCATTTCCTCTCTTAAAATACCTACTTCCTTTTTTTAAAAAGCAGTTCTCCAATCTTCAAGGAGCCTCATCTGATTCTTGGGCTAGGAAATGAGCAACCTGTGCAGGGTTCCACCATACTGAATGAGGGTCAGCCTCCTGATATGAAAATTATCCACAGGTCTTTAACAAACACACACTCACCAGAGAAGGACCAAAACTAACAATAGTAGAAGACCTAAGAAAATAAACAGGTAATATGTCTCAACCCAGAAGACACACTGGAATGCACTAAATGAACTGAATATTTGCAAGTGCTAAGTGTCAAGAAACACTGTTAAAACAGCAGAACCTACAACAAAGGTATTTAACTCCTACTAAAATTACTAACAAATATCTCAGCCTTAAACATCAATGTCAATATGAGTTTCTATTATAGAAAATCATCATGTAACCAATAGAATAATGGACTTTCTGTATTATAATAATTTCACGGTAATAATCAAAAATTCTACCACTGCAGGAACCTTAACCTGTGCTGTGTGCTCACACCATATCTTTTACAATTCTCTTTTTGCATGACTAGTATACAACAGATCTTAACTCTCTGATGGAGATTGAACAGTAACTGCAAAGTTAATGTGTAATGAGCAAAGGAGAGAACTTTGCACAGAAAGTTATGTACCTGATATTCCAAGCAAAGAAATTATTTTTTGTTGTTTTCAACCTGCAACTGTGATTCATCTACCCAACAGATGAAGCTATTTGCAACTGTGAGGTGGATGCCAAATTGGACCAAGTATTATCCTTAGAAAAATTATCATTCGTTGCATAGTAGACTATCAGTACAATGCATAACGCACTTCTCCAGGGTGACTGGTAGAATACAATGAGCTGATGAATTCCCACATTTGTTTTCACTTACTCTTGCGTTTCTTTCTTTTCTGCCAGACCCATTTGTTGTCTTAAGGCAGGGAGAGCAGCATGGGTGGTGGGGCGGAAGCAGGCCAGAAACATCATCAGAAGCTTCCACAGAGAAGAGTTTTTTAAAATACCCGCTGAGAATCCACAGGCAGCCTCATTCTAGCCCACACTCCCACTTGAGCAGCTGCAATCATGAGACACACAACAGAACACTGTGTTCTGTATGTAAAGTGACAGGTAAAATTTTAAAAAAAGTTTGAATCCCACAAACAGGGGTGTGTTTCATAACGGTCAATGTGCATTTAAAAACAAATATGGAATTATTACAGGAAAATGGAATCTGAAAACCTCTTAGAAATGAAAATGGTACCCAGCACAATTGTGCTTGGGGGAACAAGGGATTGGAAAGTGGAGAGAGATGACTTTAATGTCATTGACTGGAAAGGGGAAAGCCCTGCACTTCATAATTGCCTCAAATACAAAATGAACAAATGTGTGGTTTTTCAAACCATCAGCAAGACTCTTAGCCTGTATCTATACTATGAGATGAAAATTTGGAGACTGGAGTGGTTTGGAGCTATCCACATAGGCATTCTGTATAAATTAATAATTACAGATAAACCACCAAGAGCACAGGCAAAGCCCTCTGGGGATGCCATAATTATGCAGCACAACTGGGTGATGTCATTGTTTGATTATCACTGGCTTCTTCCCAGAGGCTGAACCAGAGGAATAAATTCAAAGCCCAGAAATAGCGTCTCTAAGTATATTTCCAAAGTTTCAGATAAAGAAACCCAATGGCCCTGTGAAATAGACACCACGGTTATCTGCTCTATGCCTATTCGCTCTCCTCCTTCCTTTCTTCCCATAATAATCCATCAGCAATCAATCAGGTTACTGGTAATCAGGTGCAGGTGCTAAACCCTTGGGGGTACAAATACAAGACATGATTAAGCAGCTTTTCCTGAAGGGGGAAAACCAGAAATCATACACTAAATGCTTTAATGGAAGTATGCATAAGAACATTGGGAACAAAGAAGAAATCCACGTGCGTTTGGTAACTGCATGACACAATACCAATAGAAGGGGACATGGGTATTACATACTTAGTCATTTCACAGATATTGATTGCACCCCTTTATCTGTAATCATAGTAAAATCAAAGTAATCCTTTGTGATTCCAGGGGCCCCCAACCTGGCTTCCTCTTTTTCAAGAGCACAGAGGCCTCTTGCCGCTGACAAGGCAGCCTGGTCACTAAGGCAATTCTGAAGGAAAACAAGCTTTTTATTTCTCATGTGAAGATGAACGGACAAATTTATGACTCAAGATAAAGTTGATAAGTATAAAATATAAGTAAATGTCCAATAATCCTAATTATTTTTTAGGGAAGCCAATATTTTGGTTCAATATCCTGTAATATCTTCCCCTACACTTAATTTTTCTATTCTCACTCCTCTTCTATCATGAATTCTGGAGAAGTTCAAGGTTGTAAAGAAAGGCAGTGAACTTACACAGTACAAATTCTGCATTCAAAGTGCTTGGATTCAGGTTTATATTCTGTCCTCTTCTAGCTAAATGACTTTGAGAAAGCTGCTTAACCCTTCTGTGCTTCGCTTACTCACCTATAAATGAGGTCATCATATTTACTTGAGTTCATTTAAGAGTAATATGTATAATGTATATCAATGTAATGTGTAGAATGTACACACTAAAATAATGCTGTGCACATGGTAAGGACTCCTTGGTTCTGCTCAGCACGGCACATGTCTGTAATCCCAGTCCTTGAGTGGCTGAGGCACGAGGATTGCAGCTAGTGGGAGGCTATCATGAGCTACATAGGGAGTTCAAGGCCAGCCCTAAACTACATAGCAAGACTCTGTCTTGAAAAGATAAAAGATAAAAAAAAAAAGATAGTACACATATATATTCCATAGCAGAGCTCTCCTGAAATCATATACTAAGTTCCTATCTCAAGTAAATATGATTCATGAGATCTAAAACTACTAATTATAGTAGTATGAATTTCATTTATTATTAAATCAAGAAAAGAAGGTGTGACTCTCCATGGTAGGATACTTTCAAGATCCATATTATTTATGGACAAGCACCTTGCCTTGCTGTTATCTTTTTGACTAAATTAACATTCAGGTTAAAGGAAAGCAGGAGCCAGAAAGGTGCGCGTCAGTGCATGCAAGCATCAGTGCGAAGCCGGAGGCACATGTCTGTAGCTGTGACTTTGGTCAGTGCTTTTTAAAATCGCTACAATAACTGCTATCAAAATAGCCCCCCAAAAGTTAGAAAAGAAGCAAACGAAGGCAAAGTAAAGAAAGAAATCACAAATTAAAAGAACTATGTTAAATAAAAGACAGACAGATCACCTTAGACTGGTTTTTAATTCTGAAAAAGTTGAGTTTACTGAGCCAGATGCAAATCCTGGTGGACTACAGACTCTCCCAAGGGAAGAAAGAACACCAGAGAGCCAGATTCCTGATTCTTATGGAAGGACTCTGCTTCCAAACAACCACCATCCTCCCTTCCTGCAAGCCAAAGATGTCAACCTGAATGGTGAGTACAGTATGAAATTATTGTTTATGGGGGCTGGAGGTTTAGCTCAGCGGCATAAGCGCCTGCCTTGCAAGCAAGCAGTCGTGAGTTCGATCCCCGGTACCGATAAAAAGGAAAAAGAAATTATTGTTTATGGTAAATGAGGCATATTTTATAACTTTTTAGTGAACATGTTAGAAAAATTTTTGGTATTTCTGTTAAATTATGCATATTATACAACCCTTTTGTATTATGAAAAGGTTAGTTAAGGAGTGCTTTGGGAGGTTCTGAACACATTACGGGTATTTCCATTAATTCTTATGGGAAAAATAGTCTTGACTTACAACCAACTTGAGTTACAACCAGCCCTTGTGCATGAATTGAGTTTATAAGGTCCACTGTACAGAAATAAGCTCCTGACAAAAGAGGATACAACAGAGGTGACAAGAATGCCTGGTGTACAGGAAAGGAAAGGGAAGCAGAAATCTTTCAGTGTAAGAGATGTGTGCATGGATTATGGAGTTGTCAGGTATGAAAGACTGCCTTGGGTGATGGTTGAAGCAAAGATTATTTTTGTTGTAGAGTTCTATTGGTATTTTCATTGTGGTTCACATAGGAATTCATTTCTGATGCTATTTTTTTGACTTTGTATACCAAAAGTCAATGTTGAAAATTTTGATACTTTTTTTTATAAACATTCAAATATTAAAAATCAATACTTTGAGTTTTTAAAATAGTTTTCTTGTTAAGTACTCATTATTTAATAAACAAAATTAAAATTTAAAAAATGAAGGAAAGCAGGAAACAGGTGTTGTTATAATTTCTTTCACAATTATCTTACAGACAATTGTATACACAGTATCAGAATCCACGCGGTAATAAAGGTGACTGCCATTTGAAGAGTTAAAGTCATTTCAAGTGTCTTTAAAAGCTTCACATAATTTGCTCTTGAAAACTCTGGGTCTAACATTTTCCTTCTGTTATGCTATTCCTCTCAGGGTTTTTTTCTCTTTCTTTCTTTTCTTTCTTTCTTTTTTTTTTTTTTTTTTTTTTGTAAAAACAGACATATCTACAACTGTCAAATGGACAAAAAGCAGTAAAGAGTTTAACAGTTTTACTCTGGGGCTGGGGATTTAACATAAGCTTGCAAGCAGGCAGTTGTGAGTTCGATCCCTGGTACCAATAAAAACGAAAAAGACAAAAAAAAAAAAAAAAAAAACCAAACAGTTTTACTCTGAAACCAAAGTGGAAGCAGCGAAAGGTGAAAAAGAGGATGAATTTGATTAGAGTGATAATGTTTGCAACTCCGGAGTCCTCTCTAAGGACTTTAAATCAGTCACCTGTGAGTTACTTATTACCTTAGAAAAGGCTTGCTCACTAAAGACTGAAGCAGGGTGCAGACAGAGGCAGAATTCAGGGTCAAACTTCAGAGAGTGAAGGGCAGGGGCCTATGGTTCTGCCTCCCTCCTCACCTTCTGTCAACAACGTGAAGCGGGCCTGAGCTGTCCTGGTGGCGAGGCAGTTAGGTGATGAGACCAAAGCCTCAAGTTAGAAAGGGTGCGGTTTCCTCACCTAGCAGCTGGTCAAGGCCATGCGCCTATCCACATCCCGTACCTGAGACCTTTCCTCAGTTGCTTTTTTCTCCAAGGTGCCCAGACACACAAGAGACTATCCTCACATTGCCGTGGAATCCTTCCAGGGGCAGGGCTACCACACACGAAAGCTCTTGTGAGCTTGCTTATTTGTTACTTTTAAGTAATCTTTAACCTAGGTTAATATTTTAGTTACATATTTCTGCCTTTTGATTATAGGCAATGATACTGGATGATATAATCTTACCTATTTAAACCAGCCAGTTCTGGCATGAGTCAGTCTTTTCACTTCTTTCTAGTTTATGACTTTGGATCCCTTCATTATTCTTAACCACCTTCATTCAATGATAAAATAAATATTTATTTCAAGCCCATAGGAAATATTTTCATGGTCTATAAGAAGATAGGTACAAAAAACAATTTGAGAATCTAAAAGTAAACTTGTTATGTGCATGCTTGAGTTATCAACAAGGTAGGATGGTGAGCAGGCTGCAACAGATGGACAAACAGCAGCTGGTCCTCTCTGAATGCCCAAGAGCCTTCGCATACCCCTTACTTCCTCTGCTATGACAAGTATCAAGAATTGGTCACATTACTGTAAGTTAATATGCTGGCATTATTGAAGACCATCATAGTAAAAACCTACAAAAGAGGGCTAAGGATTACTCAGAAGAAATGGAAGAATGTTTTGATTTTACTCTTAATGAACAGAAGTTAAAGGGAAGTTCTGTCTGTCGAGTTATAACATGAAGGCTCGCTTCCTTCTTATCAGGTGACCTAGATTTTACCTCTTGGATCAGAACTGGAAAGGGGAATCAATCATCTCACTGCCAGGTGACAGACAATAGAGTACATATGATGAAAGAAGTGGTTGAAAAAGAAAAACCAAACAAACAAAAACAAGATAAACAAGTTTAACTTGGTATGGTAGTGAGGCTAGCACCTGAATCTCTTGCAAAAAAATGTTATTTGTTCTGCAAACACCAAAAGCTACATGAAAAGAATAAAAGCCTCTTTCATTTCTTTTTAAAGACCTATTATTCGAAATAAGATCTGTGTGTGCTTTGGTGAAAACAGAAAGAAGTTGTGAAATTAGTTTTATTCTTCTGGGATAATGTTTGTGAGGAAGTCTAACAGGCCAGGCATACCATGAGAGTCACAGTCTTTCCCTTGACCCTCATATATTTATTTCCCAATGGTCAAATTAAATAGTAGATATTATGAAAATAATTATGAAGGTAATAACAATCAATTGAATACCTCCTATACTTAACTGATTTATATATGTTAACACACCATGCCACTAGTCTCTGAGATAAGTGCTATTATTATCCTCCTCTTAAAGATAAGGGAAACAAGACACAAGATTTGAACCAACTTACTTAAACAGCTAGTAAGTGGTGGAGCTGAAATTCAAACCTAGGTAGTTTGATTCCAGATGTATTTGCTGTACTAAAAGTATTGAGCCCCATGCCTGGAACAAAGTGAGAACTTATTAATACTGTTAACATTGTTTGTAATTTTACTGGATTTACAAAAAGTATACTGAGTGCTTAGCTACTGCGGACAGCTACTAGGGACAGTACGAGGGACCAGTGACAAAAAAATACAAGGTCAGTTTTCTCAAAAAGCATAGAGGTAGTGTCAGACATGGATATTAATCAAGAATTGCAGGAACACACGTGTGTGTGTGTGTGAGTGTGTGTGTGTGTGTGTGTGTGTGTGTGTGAGAACACTGCAGTGTTGGTCAAGAATTATGTTTATCACAAATATGGATAGTTGAAGTAGATTTATAATGATCCCATTTTAGGCCACCATGGCCTTAGGCCTCTTATTGGATGGTTAAAGCACAAGCTTCTATTTCTATGTTAGCTGTTCACCTTAAACTCTGAAAGTTGAACCAGACTTTAGAAACTCTTTCAGGTCTTTGCGCTGCACAAAAATCTTCAATGGCTTTCTGTTTTCTAGAGTTAAAGTAGCAACTGGGGTGTTACATACACCTACACAATCTCATCCCTCCTTTATGGAGCACATCAGTAAACCATCGTGGAAATTTCTTTATGTTTAATTGTGGTCTTAATAAGTTTATCAATAAATTAGTAATTGGACCTCAAATTGAAAACTTGTTGCCATGAAGGTCTTAGCTTGCTAGAAAAAAGTACAAACTCTGGGAGTTTATCTCTATTAGCTGCACAGAGTATCTGAGCTCTGCCCAACCCAGTATCGCAGCACAATCCATCAAGGGAACTGTGAACTGTGAGGCCTGGCCGGCCTCACAGGTCACAGAGGTACCAAGCCCTGCTCAGCCCAGAGTCCCAGAACTATCCATCAGGGAGCGACAAGCCTAGCCTTCAGGTCCTGGCAATTCTGAGCTCCACCCAGCACAGCAAAAGGCCCCAGGGCCATGGTTCAAGGGTGTGTCCCAGGTAGTTCAGTGTTGGGAGTCCTTGAAGCTGGAAACTGACCTAGAGCATGACTCAGACATGATCCTACTAGAAAAGAAAGAGCTCCCCAGTTAGCCACCTGAAGAAGTTGAATAGCCCACCTGAATAGCCCAGAAAAACACCATGCTCCAAGATAATCCAAGCAATGAGTTGCATGGCAAAGGGGCTGAAGCTGACATCATCTTTCCTAGTATATAAATAAATATGCTGCATTGGTTGAGCAGTACCTTTCTTCCATCAAGACAATAAGGACTCTACCTGACCCCAGCTTTGTCTTTTTCTTTTCTCATCCTCTCGCAGTCCTTCACCCAAGGACCTCAGAAGCTTCATTGGTCACAGCAGCCCAGTGGGTCCCGGAGGTTCTGAACACCACCCAGCCAGGCACAAGGCCCTGGGGCAACACTCCAGGGATCCATCCCTGCTAGTTGCATGGAAGATCCAAGATCTGCCCAGCCCAGTATCCCACACAATCCACTAGGGGAAGGCCCAGCCAGCATCACAGGTCACAGAGCGCAAGGCTCCAGGCCATAGTTCAGAGATGTACCCCGGCTAGCCATATGGATACAGGAGGATCATAACTCTGCCCAGGGCAGCGTTCCAGTTCAATCCATCAGAAGGGTACCTAGTCAGTCACACAGGCCACAGAGGAAAATGACAAAATGAAAAAGCAAGATGCAGTTTCAGTCCTCCAAGAACAAACCCAGGAGACACTGAAATGGAAGACACTGGAAATCGCACAATTAAACTTTCTGAAATGATAGCAACTGAAGTAAAGAAACAACTTCATGAAGTTATAGAGGAAATAAGAACAGAAATAATCTCTCACGTTAAGAAAAAAAAGAAATGACAAACATTATAAAAGAAATGTTGAGTGTGCCTAAAGAAGACCTATTTTGAAGAAAATAAGACATTACAATAGCCAGGGCTGATTTAACATCATCTTACTTTGAAATCCTATTCTTCTGTTTCCATTGGTTCTATCAGTTGTATCTTATTGGATTTTATTATGTGTGATAGTATAAACAAATTTTCTATGGAAAATGAGATAATGTAATAGCCATTGTTCATTCTCTGTTACTTGGTTCTGAATGCTCTGTAATACTTTCATTCTTTTGAATGATTTTATACTATTTTGTTATGTTTGATACTACTGTATATGAAGTTATACTCCACTATTTCAAAGCAAGAGACATTATGATAGTTACTGTTAATTACAGGTTGTCTTGTGAAATACTACGTTGCTTACATTGTTCTGATCTGTTTTATTATGTCTTGTTTTGTCTTGATCTCTTTAAAATAAAAATAAAAAAATAAAGATCTAGATTTAAAAAAAGAGAAACATAAGAAAAATGATGGAAACCTTGAATGAACAATGTAATACAGAATTAGAATGCATGCAACAGATTCAAATGGATATTCAGGAAATTAGAAATTCCACTGAAAGCTGGCAAAACCCCTTGAATGAAGAGAAGATACATTCTCAGATCTTGAAGATGGGATAGAAGCTTATGATTACAAAAGAAAAGATCTCTTAATAATAACAAGGAACCAGGAAATTTCAATTCAACATCTGCAAGATGATGCAAAAAGAAACAATGTAAACTGATAGGTGTTCACAAAAAAAGCAGAGATCAACACAAATGACATAAGAAGACTATTTACAGAATAACAGAAAATTTTCTAAACATGGGAAAAGATATAAAGGTAAGTGAGGCATATAGCACCCCAATTAGCCATAAACAAAATAAATCTTCACTCATACATATAATAGTTAGAACCTCAAAATTCAGCACAAGAACAGAAGACTAAAAGCTGTCAGAAAAAAGAAACAGATCACCTGTGAAGGAAAGCCTATCAGAATCACGACAGATTTCTCAGCACAAACCTTCAAGCCAAGAACAGCTTGGAGTGAAGTATTTCAAGACTGGAAATAAAACAAGTTTTTACTCCGCAAACTCGTCAGTGAAATTAAAAGGAAAGCAAGTCTCCCTAACTCATTCCAAGAAGCAAGTACTACCCTAATACCAAAACTAGCGAAAGACCCAACCAAAAAGAGAGAATTATAGGCCAATCTCCCTAATGAACATAGATACAAAAATCCTCAATAAAATATTGGCAAAAAGAATGCAACAAATCATCAAGAAGATTATACACCACGATCAAGTGGGATTCATCTCAGGAATGCAGGGGTGGTTCCATGTATGCAAATCATTAAACATAACACACAATATCAACAGAGCCAAAGTCAAGAATCACATGATTGTTTCAATAGATGCAGAAAAAGCTTCTGACAAAATCCAACAATCATTCATGATAAAAATTCTATAGAAAATCAGAAAAGATGGTCTTTATCTCAACCTGATAAAAGCCATATATGATAAACCAACAGCCAATATCTTACTAAATGGACAAAAACTGAAAACTTTCAATCTAAAATCAGGAACAAGACAAGGATGTCCACTATTACCATTCCTATTCAATGTAGCTCTGCAAACATAGCCAGGGCAATTAGACAAGAGAGAAAAATAAAAAGAATAAGGATAGGAAAAGAACAAGCTAAATTATCATTATTTGCAGATGATGTGATACTCTACATAGAACGTCCCCAAAACTCCACTGACTTCTAGATGTAATAACCAAATTCAATAAATGGATACAAAGTCAACACTCAAAACTCAAAAGCATTCCTGTACATAAACAACAAACGCAGTGAGAGAGAATTAAGGGAAACCACATCCTTCACAATAGCATCCAAAAAAATGAAATATTTAGGAATCAGTCTAACAAAAGATGTAAAAGATCTATTCAGCAAAAATTACAATACGCTGAAAAGAGCAACTGAAGAGGATCTCAGAAAATGGAAAGACATTCCTTGTTCATGGATAGGAAAAACAAGCATTGGCCATTTTCCCAAAATTGTTATACAGATGTAATGCAATTCCCATCAAAATACCACTTGCATACTTTATAGATTTAGATAAATTATCCCTAAAGTTCATCTGGAAAGGAACTAGCATAGCAAAGGCAATTTTGGACAACAAAGGCAAGGCAGAGGCATCACAATCCCCAACTTGAAATTATACTACAAAGCTATTGTGATAAAGTTAGTATGGTATTAGAATAAAAACAGACCTAAAGATCAGTGGAATAGATTAGAAGATACAACTACAACTACAAACACACTCAGCCACCTTATCTTCAGCAAAGGGGTCAAACATGTTCATTGGAAGAAAGCCTCTTTAATAAGTGGTACTGGAAAACTGGCTTTCCATATGCCAAAAACTTAAACTAGACCCATGCCTATCACCATGTACTAAATTAAAGTCAAAATGGATCAAAGATCTAAATATTAAAACAGAAACACTAAATCTGCTGATTTAGAAGACAAAAAAGGTAGAAATCTTGATGGCATAGGGTTAGCAGAGAGTTCATGAACAAAAATCAAATTGCAAGGGACATATTTGCCAGAATCAACAACTGGAAACTTGTGTTATTAAGTTTCTGCATGTCAAAAGAAATTCCCAATACAGTGAAAAGCAAACCCATCAACTGGGAAAAAATCTTAGCCAACTGTCCCTTAGACAAAGCACTTCATCTAGAACATATAAAGAATTAAAAGAAACCAGGTCTCCAAAATTCAAAGACCCAATCCAAAAATGGGCATCTGAGATGAATACACACTTCTCAGATAAAGAAAGACAAACAGCACATAAATACATGAAAAATGTTCAGAATCATTGGTCATTAGAGAAATGCAAATTAAAACAACACTGATATTCCATTTCATTCCAAAAAGAATGGTCAGCATCAAGAAATCAACTAATAACAAATGCTGGAGGGGCTATGGGGGAAAAGGAACTCTGTTGGTAGGAGTGTAGACTGGTACAACCCCTTTGGAAATCACTGTGGAGTTTCCTTAAAAAGCTCAGATTAGAGGTCCCATTCAATCCAGCTGTTCCCCTTTTGGGTACCTTGACAGAAGAATTGAAAACATACCACAGTGATATATGTGCACTCATGTCTCTAGCAGCATGGTTTATAATAGTCAAATCTTGGAAACAACCTAAGTGTCCACCAATCAAGGAATGAATAAAAAAGATGCAGTATTCTTATACAATAGAGTACTACTCAGATTTAAAGAAAGACTGCATCAAGGCTTTTATGGACATGACTTGACACCATACTCATAAGTGAAATAAATCAAACTCATATGTGTAAATACCATATTGTCTCCCTAGTGTAAGAAACTGAAGAGCAAATATGATCCAAAATCTACAATGAATATTGTGTAGGGGTAAGAAACTGCTCAAAGAGGAAAAGTAGCTGGGATAGGAGAAAGGAGGAAAGAAGGAAGGGAAAAGGAAAAAGACAAATTTGTATATATACATAAAATAGCTAAGATGACTATACTACTAACTCTGTTAGTTCTTGGAAAATAACAGTTGATAGTCATATGACTAAATCAATTTTGCAGGTCTGTATCCGGTAATCTAAGCAACCCTTCTGAAGGTAACAATATGCAATATTACAACCATTGCCAAATTCCTATCATCTTGTTTTGAAAACCTATACTGTTATTGTTTTTAGTTTATTTTTGTTTGTCTCTTTTGCTTTTTGTTTTTCTTTTCTGTATTTTTTTCTCTTAAATAAATAAAAAACAAATCGTTTAACATAGCTGCTGGTATATATTGCTCAGTAAATTGAAGTTATTTTTATCATGATTACCCAATGTTATTTTATGTCATCAGAAAGAAACCTAAATCTCCCTAATATAATTTACATTTCTATATTTATCTCCCATACTCTATTAAAGGAAATTCTTACTTCAACCAGACTTGTGTAGCTTAATGTTTCCCATCACCAGCTTGCCATGTTCTCCCTTTCTCTATGTATGCATAAAAACTTGCTTTCCCCATTCAACTTTTATACTTAACTGTCTGTTTCTGGTATTTCATTGGTATACTCAGTGCCTGGCGACATTCTCATATACTGGTGTAATTCTACATTACAATTTAACTCTGACTATGCATTTATCTTGTTTTCCCATCCAAACTCTCAATTCTTTAAAGGCTGTGGACTACACAATATACTTGTACCCTCCAAATGGCATCCAGTGAGATGACTGCACTTTGCTATCAATAAATGTATGCAATGTGAATAAAACAAACATGCATTACAATTAACTAAAAGGTTTGTCATTAAGAAGATAAAATTAATTTTTAATTCTTCCCTTTATGTTGAAGGAGTCAGTCTTATAGAAAAAAGTCTTTGGCATGTTCCTTTGAAGTAGAAAATTAGAACACTGTTCCTTTGCTTGTCAACTAGCCAGAGGCCAGGGTTCAAATATATTCATACCTAGGATAGCATACATTAAAGAAGACTACCTCTCTACAGAATCAGAAACGATTTTTGTTTTCTGGACTTTTTGAGACAGGGTTTCACTATGTAGTTCAGTCTGGCCCTGGGCTCACTTTGTAGCCCCAGCTGGTCTTAACTTGCAAATGATTCTCCTGCCTCAGCCTTCCAATTGCTGGGATTACAGGAATGTGCCACTATGCCTGTTATCAGAAAGGATTTTGTTCTTTGTTTTTATATAGCATATTTTAATATGCACAGTCTTCTTTAACATAGATAAAACCAATAACCACTCCTAGAATGATTATTACAGCATTGTAGGAGGCTGGGATAGGAAGACAGGAGTTCCTATCATGCCTGGGCAACAATGTAGCATAAGCAGACTCTGTCTCAAAATAAAAATTAAAAGAACAAAAGAGTCATGGTGGCTCATATATAATCCCTGCATGCTGGAGGGTGAGGCAGAAGACTCTAAGAGAGTTTGAGGTCAGCCGAGGTCCCATAGCGAGTGAAGGCCAGCCTCAGCTATAAAGCAAGATCCCATCTTTAAAAAACCCCAACCAACCAACCAACAAACAAGCATATATCATTTTCCATAGGTCAAAGAGGTCTGTAAACTACAACTAATGAACTTCCTTCCCTCCTTTCTTCCTTCCTCCTTTCCTTTCTGTGGTGTTAGGGACTGAACCTTTGAACCCAGGGTTTTCATGGTGGGTTACATTTTTATTTTTTATTTTTCAGACAAGGTTTTGCTAAATCACTAAATTGCCAAGGTTGGGCTCCAAATTGTGATCTTCCTGCTTTTGCCTCCTACAGAGCTGGGATTAAAGGCAACCCACCCCATCCAATATGATATATTCTATATCAGATGTGAAAAAAAAAATTACTCCAAAGGCTCTACAGTTCCAAAATGGTGTTAGTCTAGGACGGAATTGCACCACATTCTGACAAAATTGGGAAAACTTAGGGATTTAAAGGGGTCTCCCCTGGGAAGAAAAAGTGTTTTCCTGTTGACACTGCTTGCAACTGCCTGTGGATGGTGAGAATGAAAAGTGAAGCACTTTCAGTGGATCCTGCGTTTTAGAACTGCCCACGGAAAATGGAACTTTCTCAGTGTACCTGCAGCAGACCAATTCATGCCACAGCAATAAAGTGAGTTGCAGGGAAAGCTGAATCTATTTAATTGAAGAAATAGTTCATATTCTATGGCTTAATGCTGTTGGTAATTAAGTAGTCTTTAAAGCTAAATCATGCTGCTGATAGGAAACAGTTTTTTCTAATGTCTTCATTTGGAAGATTTTAAAAAGCTAATCATTATTGAATCCAACCTCAACGTGGGTTCTATTACTGTTGTTTACTGGCTGGTTTGCTTCTGGAAATGTTCCAGGTCTGAGAAATTCCAAATCTTAGAGTCACTAACCAAGTGAACAACTTGACTTACTACTACGAAAGTATGGAGTATATTTTGGTTAAGGCAGGGATTTCAAAGTGTGTGAGACTACCCTATATAATAGGGCTAAATGTGAGCTTGTTAGAAATGCAAATCCTCCAGCTTTACCTCAGCTCTACTGAGTCAGAAACTCTGGAGTCCAACAATCTTTGTTTCTAGAAAGCCTTCCTGCAGATTCTGCCACCAGTGGAGTTTAAGAACCAAATACTGTAGAAAAGCTGAGAAAGTGCCGAGTCAAAGTGCCTAGAGGTTCCTGACTGTTCTTGTAGGTCATTTTTAGTCCCATGAATCTAAACTTGTTTTATATGGGTTGGCCACAATGATTAATTAGCCAATCTTTCCAAAAGGAAATTAACCTAAAGTTATTTCCTAGTGTCTACAGCGAACAACTTTACAAGTGCCTATGGAAAGTGGGATAAATGATATTAAACATAGTCCTTACACCCATTAGGTTTGTTACTTTCCAGATTGAGAAGACAGCTGATCTGAAGGAAGTTAGATCTGACTCTGCTTAAAAACCCAAAAGGGCTACGGACTTATATAATCCCCTTTATGGAATACATTGACTGCTAGAATATTATAGTATTCATCTTTATAGAAAACTTCCCAAAGAAACCAAGTATTATGACTAGCTGGAACAAGTAATTCTGGGATTTTATTACTGGATTCTATTATTGTTTTGAATGAAAAAAAATTTACCTATGCTAAATGAGGGAAATAGAGATACATTTATTACTGAGGTAGTGTGAGAACTACCTAGTGTAAAAGAAATAGAAGTAACCTAGCAAGGAACATGAGCTTCATTTATGACAGATATAGGAGACTGCTCCATGGTCCAAGATTTCTTTGCCTGAGAAAATAACCAAAACTGATGAAACACTAGTAGAATCATAATGAACCACAATTTGACAGCCTCATGCTCTTCTATTTTTAGGATGATTTTAAAGTTAATGTAGAGACTTTTTGAAATTAGAGGGTTGTACAGGAAGAAACGCAATTTATGTGAACCATCAGTGTTCCACATGCATGTGTTTCAGGTTTCACCTGGTACAATCAGCAGTGAGAGAAACTGTGGCAGCCATGGACCATTCTAGCACTTGGTAGGTAGAGGGATTAATGAGACACAGCCACTGAAAAGTGAGGATCACCCCTATTCCACCATAAAGCAACTGCTGGCTTAGAGGAATAGAGTGGCATGATTGGGATTTCTGTCTCTGCAGGCTGTCTACTAGCAAACCCAAGGAGAATCCTAGAAGTAGGCTATTTATTTTTTTCTTTTAATTTGTTTTGTTTTGTTTTATTGTGGCTTTTTTTCTCTTTCTCCGTTTTTTCCTAACCTTTTCAAGGGTGTGCATTTGTTCTGTTCTTCCTTTTATCTCTTCCACCTCTCTTTTCCTTCAGTCTTCTGCACCAGTTTCCCTAAGTTGGTGAGATCCACCTTTGTTCTCCAACCTTACTTACAATCTCTTTCTCTTCTTCCACTTCTCTATTTCTTTTTAATCTATTTTAAATTTCAACTCCAAGGGCAAAATTGACACATTATAAACTTACAGTTTGCATGTAATTATCTGGTCTGTTTTACATTTTGTTATACAATCACAAACCTAGTTCATATGGTTAAAAGTTGCAAATCAAGGGTTAACTCAGTTTGTTGTTTTACAGGCTGGGTTTGATGCCATTGGTACCACTACAGCCCAAATTGACACAATTGTTCTAAACAGCTGTTGGCTCTCATAATCCATCACTGAGATTAAATAAGACTCACAGAAAATACTGTGGCACAGTGCTAAAGGACCAGGGACTGGGCTAAACAAGCAACAACTTCTCATCTCCAACAAACTGAAGAGGTAAGATCTTCCAAGAGACTCAAAACCCAAAAATCAGCTACACCTGGGAAATACCTCAGAGAAATAATCATCACCGAAGGGTCCTAAATACCACCAATAAAGCAACCCACGTAGACAACTTACAAGCATCACCCCAGGAATTAAACTAAAAAAAGAAAAGAAATGAGAAGACACTTAAACAAGATGCAATCCCAGACATCCAGTTCACCAAAGGTAAACCCAGGGGCCAATGAGGTGGGACAATCTGAAAGCCCCCTGCCAGGTCTCTCTGAAGAGGAAACAACAAAGCAATTGAATGAAGCTCTGGAAAAAATGAAATCAGAAATAAACTCAGATATGTACAGAGATTACCAAAGTACACATGATGGTAGAGCACAGATTTAAAAAAAAAAAATAGACAAGCTCAAGCAAATTATAGAGGTGCTGCATAGGAAAGAAATGGAATCCATAAAGCAGCTTCAAGCAGATATCCAGGAGAGTGAAAACTCCACTGAAAGTACCCAAAGCAGATAGGGCCAATGTGAGGACAGAATCTCAGATACTGAAGATAGGCTTGCAGTTAGTGACCAGGAAAACAAGATTTCTCACAACTAGCAAGGGGTCATGAGAAATCAAGCCAGCAGCTGCTAGATGAGACAAAGACGAATAAGTTAAGATCCATTGGAGTCAATGAACAAGCAGGAGATACCACAAACGACATTAAAAACATGTTCACAGACATCATGACAAAAAACTTTCCTGGTAGAGAAAAAGAATTTAACATACAAATAAGTGAGGCACATACAACTCCAGTTAGCAATGATCAAAGTGAGGATCACCCTCATGGGGACCCTGTGACATTTCAGCCATATAAGGAAGAGGGGTGCTCTTCTCACTCATGGCGCATTCCCTCCTGTGTTTACTCAACAGACACTGCCTAAAAGCTAGTACTATGCAAGGAAGGACTGAAGATACAAAAGTCTGTGACAGCTAGGCATGGTGGCACAAGACTATAATTCCAGCTCCTTTGGGAGGCTGAGGCAGGAAGGTCGAAACTCTGAATCCAACCTGGGCAATTCAGCCAGACTTTGTCTCAAAAATAAAATAAAAGGGCTGGAGATGTAGTTCAGCTGTAGAGTACTTGGCAAGCATGTGCAAGAACGTGGGTTCAACTCCTGGCTCTGGAAAAAAAAGGTCTATCATAGGCCTAGTTCCCTGAGGCATTTATCAGCCAAAGGACAAAGGTTTGGCTCCAGCACTCTTGTAAGTCATGTGTTCATACCTAAGCTAAATGGTGAGTGCAGACTTGAACAGCCTGAGGAAAACTATTTCCAGCTGTGAAATGATCAGGCCTCTGTCCTTGCCACCCTCAGCATCATAGGAAGTGTGAGCCCAGGCCTCTATCCATTCCTGGAGGCCCATGGAAGCCCTAAGAAAGTCAGATAATCAAGCTACGGCTGGCTCTGTCCAGAGAAGCCATAAACTCTGCTCAGATGCTGGGATTTGCTTGGAAATGGAAAAGACCCAGGTCACAGAAGAATCCATCCAGAGAGGCTGCTAAGTACATTTGACTTGCGGTGGTTCAGAAAGCAGAACGGGTCCTTACTGGGGGCTCACAGGTCTAGCAGGCAAATGGCTTATCTCAAGTCTGGGGTACCCTTGCCCCTAGGAAAGTAGCTTCGAAACGCTGGTTTGACTATTAGCTACATCTGAGTCACCTGCATCATTAAAGTATGTACTAGACCTACTCAACCAGTCTTTTGCATGAGAGGGCCCCAGGCCCTTACCCAGCCTTTCTTCATGCCCACTGTCACTGCTATTTTTCCAGCTTCTATGAGATGAACTTTTTCAGATTCTCCACATGAGCACACATGAGAGGTCACGCATAGATTAAATCATCACATGGTATTCCATGCCTATGTGCAATTTTTATGTGTCTGTCTTACATTCTCGTACCTCTCTTTCTCTTTTTCTCTCTCTCTTTACCTATCTCTCCAAGTGGTTTTGCTGCATCCACTGACTGGAACCATTGCCCTGGGCAGCAGTTCTCAAGTCTTGCAGTCTTAAGAACCACCTAGAAGTTCAGCTGAAGCAGATTCCCATGCCCAGTCTCAAGGCTTCTGAGTCAGCAGGCCTAAGTGGGACCCAAGAACTTTGCTTCCCCCCAAATCTCCGGTCATTCAGATGCTCCTGAGGAGGGAAGGACACTAGAGAGCCCCTGTGCTGGGATCTGTGGGTTACACTGTATTGGAACCCGTGCACTAGCAAGGTACAACTTGTTGGCCACTCACAGACGATACTATCTTCCCTATATAACGTTTTTCTACCTTGCTTCCTTCCAACAGAATCTTGACTTTTGCTAAAGCAAATAATGTTCCCAACTAACACAAGTACATTTACCCCTTCTCTCTAAAAAGGGAGCGGCTAGGGCATGAAATCCTAGCAAAGAAAGCAAGAACAGAAACTGCTGGGCGGGTGCTGGCTTCCGAGAAGGCGCGAAGGGGAGAGGGTGTTGACTCAGCTGGCGTCCCCACCTTCTGTTCTTCTCTCCTTACCACATAGAAGTGCTCTCTGGAGTTCTGAGGACTCCATTCTGTGACAAGGCAAAAAGCACACACTAGGGACAGCTAAGTGCAATATGGAGGCGGAGCCTGAGTTCCTTGTGGTAAGGGCTGCCACACCAGCCCTGGATACTCTCAAAGAGTGGGGCAGAAAAATAAAACTCCTTTCTTTGAAAGATATTATTTTGAGAGCCTCTATTACCAGGCACCAAAAATTACCGATTTGTAACAGTTCTGCCCAGCAAGCTGGAAGCCATTTCGGTCATTTACATACTCTCCTGCTACTCTCACTTGGTTTAAAGTTTCCTCTTCTCTTTCTCCATCTCTAACTGTTCCTCTGGCCTCCTCTGAGCCTCAGTACCAACGTAAACTCCCCGAATTTTGAACCTCTGCAGTAGGCGTCCTAGCCTTAGCTGAAGTGTGGACACTCCTTGAGGTATCAATTCCCTGGAGCTCTCAGCTGAAGTACCTTTGATCAGGTAGGTAAAAGTAGTCCTATCTTTGACCCCCAGCTAATTTAATATCTCCGGTCACCGTATGTGAGCCCCCGACTCTCTGAGGCCTTGCCATCTGACTCCATCCACTCTTCTTATTGCTATTACACCTCAGACCCACTTTCTCCTTGTGTTGAGGACATCACACCTTGGATCATCATTTTCCAGATGGGGATCTGGCCTCCTAGCCATGATCTTGGGTGACTGAAGCGCCACCAACACTAGAATCTCTCTCAGTTTTTGTTCTTTACTTCCATATTTCTAGTGACGATACTGACCTGTGTTCTACACTGCTAGCTCTTCCATCACCAAACCCTACAGCTTACTATCATCATGCAAAGCGCCACCACTGAACTTTTAAACTGTGACCAGTCTCTAACCATAGGGTCCTCCCTCTGGTATTCCAAAGATGCCAATCTGTACCTCAGAAAATCTTTCAATGTCTTGGCCTTCCTACAATCTCCTGTTTCTAACACCTCCTGCCTCACATATTTCCCTATTTCTAACTTCCAACACACTTGTTAACATCCTCAATTATCTTTCCTCGTTGCACTCCCCTGTGAAAAGCTTACCCCTAAGCCATTTCAACGGTATGATACAATGAAAACCTGAACACCACCCACACATCTATATTCTTTGATTAGCTTTTTTTCTGTGCATGTTTCAAACTTTTTCACAACTGCTTACTCAGAACTCTTAGTGCCAGAATGTCTGGAAATTTAGAATAATTGAAGGAGTCAAGGAAGTCGCCCATAATCTAATATATTAATACTATCTTATCAGTGTAAGTACACTAAGTGGGCTCAACAAAAATGATACAGAGCCTGATATAATATTAGGTTAGGCTTTGTCACCAAACATATGAAAAAACCTGTCCAGAAGCTTTCAGATTCTGGTATCACAGATAAAGACGGTGGTCCCGTACCACTGTCTTCACTCCAGGACAGAGGTTCACCCTGTGTCACTCCCTTAGGTATCCCCGATGTCCAGTCTGTGTCCACTCAGGCTGTGAACTGTACTGCCTCGAACATCTTCTGAAGCTCTCTGCTCTGACTGTACACACTGCTGCATTCATTCAGGCTCCCAGGGTTTTCTCCTGAGTGACCTTAACCGTCCCTCGCTGCTCTGCCCTCAGGTTGCCCCTCCTTCATCTGCAGAGTTCCCTTCAGTCTGTTCTCCATGCTAACCAGAGTGACCCTGCAACACAGACACAGTGGTGCCACTCCTCTGTATAAAACATTTATTGGAAGCCCAAATGCCTCTGGATAAAGTTCAGATGTCATATTATGATTTTACAAGACTCTAGTGACTTTTCTAGCTTATCTCTTGTCATTTCCCACCTCCTAATCAAAGCTCCTGCCTCATTAAGCTATTTTTAAGTCTCCAAGAGAATACTGTTTGTTCTTGTCTTTGCACAAGTTGTTCCTTCTTTGATAATGTACCAGTAAAAATCACAACTCTTTTTCCTGTAAGACAGAAGCTAAAATGAAAGATAAATTATGAATGTGACTATGTGAAGAGGCCTGAGCTAATCAGGGTCAATAAATCTGGCTTATCTCATCTTAGTCACCCTACATCTATATTTATTTATTTATTTAATTTTTATTTAGAAAGTAGTAAAAATGCAAGAGCACAAGACAGAACAAAGCCAATTGAGACAATGCAATGAAATTGGTACAGAACTTCACAGCAGGATACTGGGGTGGTAGTAATAGGTACTATGGTATATCTCATTATCGTCACCATAGTTGTCCAGTCAATTAGGTATAGCGAATTAGGTAAACCAAAAACAGAACATTATAAAACCAATTGAGAGTATTGAATAGAGCAAAAGGAGCATAACAAAACAAAACAGTGAAAATAGCCTTTGCCTTCTAACAAGATAGAAGGAAATCCCCCATATTTGCTATCCTGCATATGGTCATCTTCCCAAGAGACGCTGAGACATCTATCCCCAGTAGCTATGGGGGAGGGCGGTTTGATTTTCAGCCCACGAAAATAGGCTCGCAGGAGCCAATGGTTCTCCTCCTGGCCCTTGCTGGGGGCGCTAACCAAGAGGGTGGAAGAATAAGCTGCCTGAGATCCACCATGGCCTTTTCTCAGGAGTGCTGGTTATCCTCCTGGCCCTCGCCGGAGCAATCTATATTTATTTTTAGTTAATTCTTGATTCACTAATTTTTACCAAAAGAAGATAGCATGAATAATTATATATCCAAATTCATATTTGTTCTGATCAACTATGCATGTAACAGAATATTTTGTATATTTAAAATTTTTTATTTTATAATAACAAAGTGATAGAAAATACAGGTACTTGGTAAAGACAAGTTATGGAATATTTGGGAAAGAATAGCAAAGGCCTATATTTCCATTATTCTCTAAAACAAGCACTATAGTATCTTTCAGAAACCAGCAGGCTCTATGAAGGCAGGAGCCACTCCTACCCTGCTTACTGCTGTGACTCCAGTATAGTACTTTTAATTTTTAAATAACATAAATATCTGAGCAAAGGATGACTGACTTATTGTTTTGGTGTACAGGATTCAAAATTAAATATACCTGGATTTTCTATGATAACCCATTCAGCAACTTTGAGAGCTTCAGTTTCTATGTATGCAAAGGGTTAGCTGTGTTTGACAAAGCTAATCAGAGAAAGAGAGTTCTGGAAGCAGACTATATAGGCAAAGTGAAAAGCAAAAAAGTAGACTGTGTTCTTCCAAAGAAGTCTCCAAAGAGGAGAAAATAGCATGATTTTTCACAATCACCAGTGACACAGGTGAGACGAAGGACGATGCTGAGGTACAGCAAGGAGAAGGCAGAAGCAGGGAAACAGGAGCATCGTTCGTTCATCCCCCCGGACAATGAAAAGGCAACAAAACACTTCTCATGTGAGTTACAAACACCATGCAGCACTGTCTAGTGAGTCACTGTCTAGTGAGTGCTAAGAGGGAACCCATCCAGAAAAGTTGCTGATAAGCCAAGAAATAAATGAATAAATTTAATTAGAATCTCTGCTTGCTATCTTCAAAGGTATCAAGATCATGAAAGTCCAGGAAACTCGAGGCACCTGACTAGTAGGCGTTGGTTTCATCCCCAGTATGTTCAGAGGGAGGGAAGGAGAGAGACAGAAAGACAAAGAGATAGACAGGGAGAGAGACAGACAGACAGACAGACAGACAGATACAGAGAAAGACAGGGAAAGATAGAGTCACATAGAGAGACAGAGAGATACACAGAGAGACAAGGAGAGACAGACACACACAGAGAGGCAGGGAGAGAGACAGGGTGAGCGCTAAGAAGAAAACTAAACACAATATATGGCCCTGACCTGGATTCTTTTGCTATTACTGAAATAACTGGTGAGACTTGAACACAGTCTGATAGAAGGGCATTAGTCTTAATTTTCTAATTTGGATGCTTATAATGTAGTTATGTAGGAAAATGATTTTTATGTTAAAAAACACACACAAAGCACCTCAAGTGTTAAGCATGGGACAGTGGTGGCAAACCCCTGGCACACATGCCACAGCTGGCTATTTATCACTGAAAGCTCTGAAAGGCTCCTCATCACTGACATAGGGCATTATGTTGGCAACTTACACTAATGTTTATTAGAAAAAGATTTTTGTGTGCCAACTCCAACTTCTCTAGAACTTCAATTTTTTTTTTCAAATTAGTATTTCAGTACCCTGGCATGGTGGCACACATATGTAATCCCAGCCTTTGGGAGGCTGAGGCAGGAAGAGTTGCCATAAGTTTGAGGGAGCCTGAGCTACACAGTGAGTTAAAGGCCAGCCTAACCTTCACAGTGAGACCCTGTATCAAAACAAAACAGAGCACAACAAAACAAAAAATTCCACCAAAATGAAAAACATAATAATAAATTAGAATCTCAAGTTGTGTAGCTCGAAGATAGAGTGCTTGCTTAGCATTTGATCCCCACACCGGCCTATCCCACATTAGAGTCCTTGCGGTGTAAGACAGAACACCAGTGTTTAAAAAACTGTTTATGAGTTCTAATATGCAACTGAGGATAGAAACCACATTACAGAAAAAAAAGGTTACACACTTTTTGACTAAGTGCATGAATCACAATTTACTTAACCAAATTCTTCTCTTTTTCTTCAGTAATTATTTTTTGACAAATTTTTATGACAGGCAAGAAAGAATCTCTTTCAAAGGAGCGCACAGTTTCATGGAAATATATATGAGCAAACAGATACTGTGCTATAATAATAATAACACATTTGCCAGGTACAACACTGCCTAATGGGGCAGGTATTCTTAGTTCCTTTCATTTTACAAAAACAAGAAATCTAACAACAGTGATATGAGCCTGGCTATGCTATTATAGCAGTGGGAAGTCAAATACAGTAGAAATCCACACAAGACTGAGGTGCAGACGGAGGGTCCTGGATGGTTTCTTAAGAGGCTGGGTCATGGAATCTATCTTTACGAATGCCCATGTTTTCCCATTTTAATAACCACAAATTCTCCTTCTATTACCATGTGTACAAATGACTTTCCATTTTGCAGCCCTGCTGCCATCCTGCTCCTTTGGTTAGATGCTAAAAGTGGACTTCTGAGACAAATTGTAAGGAAAATCCCTAGGCCTTCAATGCAAGCTGCCCCAAAGCTGTCACCAGCAAAATCAGGATATCATTTCACTGCAGCCTTACGGGCAAGGTAAAAATTCTCTGCCATTTGTACACAAGTAGGATTTATTTGATTACTACTTAAGCTGAACAGCTTTGCATCAGTGCTTTACTACATAAATTCCAGATCCTTACTATTACAACCAACAGAACATCAGAGAACATTACCAGTGAAACAACACTGGAGGATGCCTCATAAATACCATGCTTTTATTTATTCTTATAATCACAAAAGTGATTTTGGCACCACTACAGCATGCAAGGAAATCAGAGACTTTTATATTCGTGCTAAGATCTTCGACCTTTCAAATTGCTGTGAGCTCTCTGAGAACAGAGGTTGTCTTGTTTGAGTCTACAATTCTTTCACAATGCCTGCAAATAAAACATGCTTTATAACAGTATGCTATAAAAAATGTATGGGTGATGTAATAAATGATGAAAAGATATAAATTGAAATCATGCTTTCGGAGTCCTATTCATATAATGCCAAAAAACACAGCTCAGTAACCATCACATTAGGGCAAGATGAAGGACAAGCAGTATGTTCTCTCCTTTGCTGCCTGCATGTAAATAAGATGACAGTTCAGTTAGCCTGTAACTATGTCGCCTCTTGTCCTAGCGTCTTGTCTGACTGGAGCTGCCTTTCAGAAGGAGACTGGCAATAAATGCTGTGATACCTCTACATCTAAAGGATGCTCCCTAATGAATAGCAGGTCTTAAGGACGAGTGCTTCCCTGATCAGAGAGCTTACCATCGAGTCCCTCTGAATCCCACTTGGAAGACCTACTAGAAAATTCTTTCGGCCAGTAAGTGCTTTCATGATGTTTTCCATTTAAAGTCAAGTGCATGCTTTGCAAATGTGTAGTTAATCTGTAACTAAATTCTTTATTCCATTTTATTGCTAATGGAAGTGAGGCATGGGAAGAAAAAGTGCCTTATTCAAGGTTATATCCAGCATGAGTCAGTCATATGCGAGGAGCTTGCTGGAGCTTCAACTTTTGTTTTTTGATTACCTCTCTAATCTCCAAAATCATTAATTTGTAATAAAATCAACAGTGCAGTCATGTTGGAAGGATTTTAATAATATAGAAAATGTCTCTATACATATAGGCAATAATAATCTATTTCAAATGGTGTAAGTAAACTCATGGACATACTTTGGGTAATATTTTTAATGTGTATCAACTTCATGGTTAATAATATTTAGCTTCACTCGGTAACATTCTCTATTTAAAGCACATGTATTGGTTCCAACTAACAGAGTGAAGGTAATATTTATAAAATAGGTGAATTTAAAATAAGCATTTAATCTTTTTGGGCAATTAAAAGATAAAGTTTGCTACATTTTTACATTTACAAGTACATTTAAACTTTATATGATGATGCGCTATTTATGTATGTATGTATCTATGTAAGTATTTATTTATTTTGGTACCAGGGATCGAATTCACCACCTCTCACTTGCCAGGCAGGCACTTATGGTGTTGAGCTAAATCCCGGCCCCAATGATGTACTATTTAGACAAAATTTCAGCAAATTAACATCTTGGATTAAATATAAAAAAAATGTTGATGGTGCTAATTCATTCTCTACAGCAATAGAAATAAAAGCTGATTAAATTAACATTTAATAGTTTACATCTAAGACGTATATAAAGAGTGTGACTCTACTGCTTGTATGAGAGGAGAGGCATACATGTGTGGAGCTGCAAGGACTCAGTGTTATACACATATCATCCCACATTAACTTATAAACATACTGCAATGTCAGCCAAGGTCCTATTTGCATCTGTGGAGGCAGAATAAAGAACTTAGTAAAACACTTAAGTTCGTTTGGAGGAATAAATTTAAGAAAATAAACAAAGAAAACTTTTGTGAAGTATTAACTATAATAATAGCAATAGTAGTTTTCTGGCACAATTTTCTGGGGGAAAATTGAAAGTCCAGAGCCAGGAACAGGTGTATAAGTGTTAAGTATTCAGTAAACAATGAAGGAGTATGGAAAATGTACAGCAGTGCGTTGTGAGATTTGGCTAGATCCCTACCTTACACTAAATGCCAAATAAATTCCAGGCAGTATGAACATTTTGATTGATGTAAGAAAACAAAGATAAAATACATGATGAAGACTTTTCTATATATGGCTTCAAAGATAAAATAATTTTTAAAGAGCCTAATAGATTTAATCATTTAAAACATATAATCACTAAAATAAATATGAGCTAAGAATATCAAGCAGTTTTGATTATTCATACTATAATCACTTGCATTTACCACTTACCTCTTCATTTAATTTAGTTTCTTTTAACAAAAAATTTTTTAACTATAAGAAGTGAAAAACATGAATCTTTTAATTAAGGTTTTTGTAGGGTTTTTTGTTGTGGTTGTTGTTTGCTTTTGGCCCACAGGTGACTTTCTTAACTCCAAATCAGATTGACTTTCACTTATTTTTTTTTTTTAGAATTCTTTCATTTCTTATTTTATGGCAATTAAATAGATGAGAGGTCACTAAATGATTGGGTCTCCTATCTGATTAGAAAAATTAGTAATTTCTCTAAGTCTTACTTTCTTTTTTCCTAACAAATCAGACATACTACTACCAGTCTACTAGGGTGCCATGAAATCAAAAGAAATAATTTATACATAGCATTTATCACATTAAAGCTTGGTATATAAAAAGTACCTATAAATGGTAATTACCTTTAGTGCTACTACATTGCATATGGGACTACTTAATTTCATGGGATATTGTTATGATTAGCAACATATTGGCACTTTATTTAATTTTTGAAATTTTCATTAGCATATGTTTGAAGTACCTAATGGTTATGTTAATTATGGGATTTGGTACACCTATATAACACATCTTATATCATTTAAATTAAAAACATTTCACATGATTTAATTAATGCTGTAGTTTCTTACTATTTTTAAGTCAGTATATGTCAATTAGAAGATGACAGCTCATTTTCTGAAGACCACCTAGTTATATATAGCATACTACAACTTGTTTTTCTTTTTTAAAGATTCTGTTGCCAACTCTGGCCTTGAAAGCCTGGGCTCATGCAAGCTCCCATCTCAGCCTCTCCAACAGCTGAGTCTAAAGAAGCATTACACTGTGCCTGGCTGTAATTTGGTCTTTTAAAATTGCCATGTGAAGTTACCAGATGGCCAAGTAACAGTGTAATCCAAGAAAACAAAGTGATTTCTTACCAGAACTGCTGAGATTATTTATGAGCTTGCTATAAATAAGATGTTTACTCATCTTCATCTTACCTCCAAGAGGCCGTCCTCTGGTAGATCCGTACAGTGCACAGCATTCTGGATCTTAGTTTTACCGAAGCGTGCTCTCAGGGTTCCAGGGCGTAAATGCCGGGCAATTTCCTGTGAAATACGTATTCACATAGAGTTAGCGATGAGGAGCTAGTAAGCAAAACACTAGCTGTATGAAACACTTAAATTATATTATTTTTAAAATACATGTTACACATTGAGGGTACTGATTTTTCTTGGAAACAGTATGAATGTGTGGAAATTTTGAGCAATGAAAATACTGTTCACTTATGAAGCTTCTTCCTATGGTCTACTGTAACCTATGTCACCATTGTAATCTACTGTAATCTATGTCAGAGAGCAAATGCATTCTCTTGTAACAACAGAATATTTGAATCAAGGAAAATATTAACTCACTTCATTACTCTAAAAGATGTGCATTTATAAAGATAGTAATAATCTTACCGACTTGATATAAGGAAACAGTTTAATGGTATTCAATTTTTAAGGACTTTTTTAATGTTCTGGTTGTATCTGCTTATTACTAGCTCATCTTGGAGGCAGATAATGGTCACAAATAGCTGTGAACTTCATGAAAACTGGAAGTTTTACCAAAAGAACACAATGAAATGAGAAGTAAAACGTAATAACAATAGAGTATAAAAAAATCAAGCAAGAAAAGAAGTGAGGACATACGATGTGGAATGAGGGAAAGAGAATGAAAAGGCAGACGGAGAGATCTGAGTTGAGCCAACTGGATGAGATGATGATTAAAATACGTGTGTGCACGTGTGGTGGCACATGCCTATAATCCCAGCACTCAGGAGGCTGGGGCAGGAGGATGGCTGTGAGATTAGGCCAGCCTGAGCTACACAGTGAGGTCAAGACCAGCCTGAACTGCATAGGAAGATCCTGTCTAAAAAACTAACAAACAAACAAAAACCTCAAAATAAAGACTCAATGAGAAAAAAAAGTTGAGTGTGTTATAAAGAAGTTTACCAGAAAATTAAGACTTAGGAAACGTGGATGTGCAGGTGTGGGGAAAGGCCAAGTGACTGATACTGACTAGTAAACGGTATAGCAAGGTGTGAGGGCACGCTGAGGACAAAAATGTAACAAGGACAAGAGCTCAACAGAGAGGAAACATGATATTGAATGAATCACTCCTATGAACCTAAAAATCACAAAGAATTGTGACAGGGTACAAAGATGTGGACAGCCTCAATATTTGTGGTATCCTTATCACGTAAGGATAGTTTTTCTTTTTAAATTTTATTTAAAGAAAGACTAAACAAAACAGAAAATGGGTAGAAATAATACATACTTTCAATTTAAAAATAAACAGTAGGAAATCACTAGTTGATGATTACATATTGTCCTCTTACAAATAGTTTTTCAAGATACAAAAGTGAAACATACAAAGTGGGGATTCAAAAGTGAGACTGCAAACGGTTCTGTTCAATTATCCAACAAAAACTTAGTAATATGGTCATTAATCTTATACATTTAAACATACATGCAGTTATCCATACCTTCATTTATGTTAAGATTAAACAAACCAAAGCAGGCTAAAATCACTCTGAACAAAGAATAATAGTATTGCTGGATTTCATAGCATGACACTCTGGGATCAGCACTGGGTACTGTAGTGTCTCTTTTTCTTCAAAGTATTTGTTCATTTCATCATGCATTATAAGATTAGTTCTCATAAACTGTTTATAAGTTTTACACATGCATGAGTCTTAACATGTATGTCTATCCTTTCTATATTAGAGGGGGAAACAAAACAAAGCAAGATAAAACAAAACATATTCCTATAAATACATGAAGCCAAAAATATATACAAAACCACTGTACAAGGAGTTCTACCATGGTTACTGTGTTGTCTCTTGTTATTTTCAATAGAATCGTCTATATCATCAGACATAGTATAATTGCATACAGCAGTACATAACAATATTAATAAAAACAAAACTTTGTGGATAGTGTAAAACCTCAAAAACAGGTAATAATCAAACCAGAATGGGTATCATAGTGAATCTTGTCATCTTCAGTGTAGTTGCCTATACTCTCAGACTTGATACTATCAATCATAACAGTTCTGAATAAAATCTGACTTAAGGATAGTTTGTAAAAGAGTTCATGTAATTATAGCCGTATAACACACCACGACATTTTGCGTCAATGACAGGCCACAAAAATGAATGTGGTCCCATAAGATATGATGGAATTAAAAAATTATATCATCTAGTAACATCATAGCCATCATAAGGTAATATAATATATAACACATGTTTGTGGTGATATTGATATAAAAAATCTATTCCACTTCCAATCATATAAAAATGTAGCATATATAATATATGATATTCAATAACAATAAAGGGCTGTGTCATTGGTTTATGTATTTACTATTATTATTTTTATTTTAGAGTGCTCAGCCTTTCAAACTCCACTGAATTCCTGGCATAATCATCCTTCTCTACATCCTCTCTGCCCAGATTCATCAAACGTTTGGTTATTTCACAGCTCATTATAAATACTAAAAATTCTGCTCAGGTAATCCTGCAGTAGAGGAAGAATTCTAGCTTAAAGAATGATTTCTAAATCTAAGATAGAAAAATACAACAGATGGAATGGTGATTAATAAAGTACTGAGAATAAAGAAATTAGTTACTCTATGGCTTGTGTGCATTTTAAAGAATATCAGTGTTTACTGAGTAATAGATCTATCTGGCTGATAAAGTACATCTAGATGAAGAACTAATTGCTTCCACAGTAACCTATTCTATTAGTTCTCCACAATACAAGAAAGATTGTATTGAATTATATATGTAAGAATCAAAATAAAACTGAAAAAGACTTGTGAAATTTACTAATTGTAGAACTTTGAAGAAAGAATTTTATGATCAACTACAGAATACATTTACATGAGCAGCACATGAGGTGGTTAATCATTAAATTACTAATGTAACACCAGGAAACTTTAAGTACAAGAGAAGAAGTCTTCCCTAAAGCACAGGATAATCATATTAGCCATAATACAAATAAACTGAGTATTTAAAAAGGAACTAGAATAGTTAGTCTTAGCAACTCTAAGACAGGTGTGAAACAAAATTTTAAAATGTGTTAGAATCATTGCCCTCATTTTGTAGTCAGCAAGAGTCATAGGACAATAGCAAAGCCAATAATAAAACTATGATAAATAAAACAGCAAGCGTTCATGTTTCTAGCCATTTCTGGCACTGTTCAACAAGTCTTGCAATGTTAAGAGTGCATTAAATCCTCTGCTTGACTCCTCTGACTCCTCAGAGCATCTTACCAAAACAGATCTTCCACCAGCCTCTTTCATTTGCAAGCAACCTTGTAGTAGTACAGTTATACTTTTCTGTTCCTTGGAGACAAGCAGTATCAGACTAAGTCACAACTAACACAAGATAATGAAACATAGGAAAGAAACTGGAAGTAGGAAAGGAAACCAGACAAGAGATCCAAAGGCTACAATCTGTGGTCTGAGAACCTTTTGAGAGCCTATACATAGGATTTAGAAAGAATGACTACAAAGTTAAACTCAACTAGCTACTATTTCACTGAATGTGTCAACTGAGAGATAGTGGTGAATACGATCATTTGTACTAGAGACTTTATGAATTGCTTATATCTGAGGGATCCTTAAGACATCTGCTTTCTGAACTCAAGGACTCCACAGTTTATTTTTCATTAGGTAAAAATTATTGTAATATAAATTTATACTGGGAGAGAGTCACAAATGTTTTTTCACATAAAAGACAGAATTCAACCTTGTCTTTCCCACTAGATTTTAATAAACCATATAATATGATAACCATTGCCTCCTACTAAGCTGTTGGCTATTTCAATCAACAATAAGTTTTACGTTGGCTGTTTCAATCAACAATGGAGCATCATGTGCTATAGTTGCTTAGAATGTAAAATTACAATCTCCTGGTTTTCTTGTTGTTAAGAGAATTGGGAAATCCCAAAATTCCACTCCTATAATCCCAGCTACATGGAAGGCTGAGGCAGGTATAAGTCTGAAGGTAGCCTGGGCAACTGTTTTATTTTCTCAAAATAAAAAAGGTGGGATTTAGCTCAGTGCTTCCTGGGTTCAATTCGCAGTACTGCAGGGAGAAAGGATGGAGCAAATCTCCCCACTCACCTTTCCATAAATTACATTTTAATGAAACCTATAAAAACTCATTTGCACAAGCAAACTCTGAGATCATAGACATTAATAGAGAAGAAAAGACCTGCTTTTTGACGAATTTTCCTATTTCTTTTCTATTTAAAAAAAATAGTACTTTATAAAAACCCTAAACATCCAATGAAAAGACTGGCTCATAAAACATTACAGGGAGTCCTCATCCATCTTTTTCATCAAGTGTGACACTGTGTGACTTCTGCCGGTTCCCAAGTCAAATTAATAATAAAAGGATAACAATATGAACAGACTCAGGATACTGAAGGTGCAACTAAAGACACAGAAAAGCAGGCTTCCAGAACTACTTCGGAAAGTGGCAAGAATGATGGAATAAGGGTATTTGAAGCAAGAGGGAATATTTTGAAAAGAGTTCAAGGCAATATGTCTTTTTTTTAAAATCAGTACCGGGGATCAAACTCACGATGCCTGCTTGCAAGGCAGCTGAGCTAAATCCCCACCCCAGCAATATGTCTTTTACTATCACAATGCTTTTCCGGTTTGAACATTCATCATTTTTAACCATTACAGGATGTATCCAGATTCCTACTGTAGATTCTGCTGTTCTTAATACACACAGTATCTATACAGCAGTTAAGAGTGAGCTTTATAAAACATATGTTGAATCACACCAGCTCCCTGCCTGAGACACACTGATGCTTTTATTAAAATTCAGTTCCCAATATGGTTGGTTCACAGTCCTGCATAGCTTGGCTCTGCTTAGCGCTCTGCTGTCCTCTGAAATGATCTGGTCAGACCAGCCTCTTCAAGCTCTTCAAAAGCACCAAGACCTTCCCCTCCCTCCTTTCCCCCCCCCACCCCCTTTTCCCTTTTTTCTTTCTTCTCCTTTTTTTTTTTTTTTTTTTTTTTAGATGGGATCTCACTATGTAGTCATTCAGGCTGGCCTTGAACTCATTCTGTAAGCACCTATGCTGGCCACCTGTCTCTTACCTTCACTGGTCTGTTCAAACTGCTCCCTCCAAAGTCACCTATAACCAATTAATCCTCTAGCCCAAAAGCTCTCAGCATGAAAGTTGTAAAAATATCATCAGAAATAGCAATGGCCTTATGAACTGATCTGAGAATATGTACATTTAATTTACAAATCAGGACATCAATGTTATAAGTTTATTTTTCCCCTAATAGCAACATATATCTCAACAGTTAGTAGAAAGATCTTGGTTTCTTACAGGCATAGGTTCCGGGTTAAGGCTGAATTAAGGTAGGTAGCAATGTCTAGTAATATCTGGTCAAAATGGAAGCATGCCAACAATAGATAAAAATCACTGTTTTCACAATATGAAGTTCTTCCACAGTAGGTGCTGGCTGATGTTGCTACAGCAGTTTTGCCTTTTATAGGTACCCAACCCTGTTATATTCAGCACTGAAGACAGACTATATCCAAAGATTCAGCTAATAACTGAGGTAAGCTCACTTGAAGTGTTTAATTTCCTAAACTTCTCTATAGGCTCTACAATTTCCTTTCAAAGTTGAAAATTTCTATTTATAGAAATATAAAAGAGGAGCATAGGAAAATGATGGAAACTTTGAACAAATTACAGAAAAGAATTACAGTGCACGAAATGGATTCAAAGAGTGATGCAGCAAATTAAAAATTCAATCAAAAGCTGGCAAAACTGCTTAAAAGAGACTTAAGACAGACTTACAAACCTTGAAGACAGGATTGTAGCAAGTGATTGTGAAAGTAAAGATTTCTTAAAAATAACACAAAATCAGGAAATAACTCCATGGCTGCAAGATGATGCAAAGAAGCATAACTTAAGAAGGAAAGGTGTAGGTGAAGAAGCAGGGTCAACACAAATGAAATTAAAAGGATATTCACAGAAGTAATAGATGAAAACTTCCCAAACATGGGAAATGGATCTGGCATGCAGATAAGTGAGGCATACAGGACTCCAACTAGCCATAAGCAAAGTAAATCTACACCCAGACATATAATAATCAAGGTCTCAGAAATTCAGCACAAGAACAGAATATTAAAGGCTGTTAGAGAAAAGAAACAGATCACCTATAAAGGAAAACCAATCAAAGTCCCAGCAGACTTATCAACACAAACCATCAAGTCAACAAGAGTTTAGAGTGAAGTGTTTCAAAACTTCCAATCCAGATTGATCTACCCTGAAAAACTTTCAAAATTGATGGAAAAATAAGATACTTTCATGATAAAGAACAACTGAAGGAATTCATGACTCCCAAACTAACCCTACAGAGAGTGCTAAAGGATATTCTAGAGAGATAAAGATGACCATGGTTCCAGGAACAGCAGCAGAGGAGATCACCAAACAAGACAGGCAATTCAATGAAGGGGAAAAGTGGAGGGCCAACAACAGGAGGATAGCAGGGCAGAGATGAACCAATGTATGCTGGTTGTAACCATTAATGTAATGGCTTCAGGTCAGCAATAAAAAGAAACATAGGGAGAGTGAGTCAAGAAACAAGATCCATCGATATACTGTATACAAGAAACACATTTAACTGGAAAGGAAATTCACAGACTGAAAATCAAAGGGGAGAAAACAATTGTTTCATGTGACAGGAGATCAAAAAAAAAAAAAAAAAAAGCAAGAGTAACTTGCCCATCAACCGCAGAATGGAAAGATGGTATTTTTCATGCAGTGGAAAGCTACCCAGCTATAAAGTAGAATAATCTCAAGACTTCTGTTGGTAAATGATGCAACTGGAGATCACGTTCATGGCCAAAGCAGTTCGATCCCATACATGTTAACCCTTAATGGAATTCAAAAGCAAAATAGTTAACGTGAGAGCTAAAGGGAAGAAATACCTGGGAGGGAAAGATGGAAACTACTGTCAATTTCTTATTGTCCTATCTTGAACTATTGTATGTTTACACAATTTTGTTAGGTTTGGCTTTGTTCTGGCTTGTTTTGTTAGATTTTATGCTGTCAGATGGTAGGGGCAGCTATTTTGAATATAATGGGATATTATATTATATTATAGTAATCATGGTTTCCTATTATATTGCTTTGAAGTCTTATAATGTTTTTTCATTCATTTGATTGGTTGGTTTTATTTTGTTTTGTTTGATTTTATTATGTGTGATGGTCTGAATAGCTATTTTGAAGAAAACAAGACATTATGGTAGCTACTGCTGATTTACTAACATCTTTGGAAAAAGATGTTAGTTTTGAAGTCCTACCATACTTTTGTTCTTCTGTTTTGATTGGTTCTATCCTGTTGTGTTTTATTTGATTTTATTATTTCTTATTTCTTGCTAAATCTTCAAAGTCCAGGATGTATCTAAAATGTACAGCATATCTCGATTTGAACCAGACATGTTTCAGATGTTCAAGAGTCACATGTGGCTACTATTTGCCACACTGAATTGTCAGGAGCTAGGAAAGAGCTCTTCTATGACCAGGAGTAATATCTCAACATTCCACTTGAAAGCTGAGCCAGGGCAGTTGTGTCTGCACTACAAACCTCCACGGCACTAAAGGAGACCTTGGTCTACACCTTGAGGAAAGCTAACCTAACCCTGCCATCCCAAGCTATCATCTCTCCCCGCCTCTCTGCCTCAGTTTCTCTCCCTGCAATCCCTACCAGCTATTTATCTGTCTTATTCACAATCCACCTACCTTCCACAGCTGGCACTGCAAATGGTCATCACTATCTGCAAGCCCCTATTTCTAATTACATCTTTTCTCCTAGCAAATACCTTTGTTTCCTGCTTCACAGGAAAAAAAGGAAACTATTAAGAGACATCGCTCAGAAAATCCCCACATACACATACACACATGCACTCACACACACGCATGCACATAAAACCTCCAACCTCTTCTTTCACTAAGTGAAAAAGGAGTTTTAACAGCCCTCCCACTTTGTCAGTCAAAATCACGAACTTCCTCCACTGTAACTCCCTTCTCCTTGTATTTTCAACCTTTTTTTCCCAATACCTTCTCCTTTGTATTCTATAAAAAAAAAAAAAAAAAAAAAAAAAAACTCTGTCTTTCTCATCATTAAAAAAAAAAGCTTTACTGTCTCATCTCTTTCACTCTGCTTCTATAACAAGCTCCACTCCCATTTGCCTTCAACCTTTGGCCCAACAAGGTCACCTAAACTGATCTGGCCAAGGACACTAATAATATTCTGATTTCTATGATTCTCTTCCATATCTAGCATTATGAACCATTCCTTATTCCTGAAGCTCTGTTAGCTCAGCATGCACAACCCCCTAACCCATCTCCTGTTCCGACTGTTCCTTCTCAGGCTCCTGTATGTCCGTCTTCTTACTACCCAGGATTCACTCCTTATTCTCTTATCTTCTGGCTCTCTGTGGGCAATCTCATTACTAGTCTTCTTGCCTCTTCAGGTGACACTGTAATCCCGAACTTCCACTCAGTTCTCTTTCCTGAGTTCTAGGATGGAATAGAAAACTGCCTTTTAAAAAACTTTACCTCATTATCCCACAGGATTCTTGTGCTCAACTTATCCAAAAGTAATCTCATTGTCTTCCTTCTCAAACTTTCTTCTTCACCAATTCCCTCTTTCATGTATGGAACCAAGTAACCAAGTAACCGACCATGTGACCTAGAAAGTCATCCCCAACTCCTCTTTCTTCTTGAGTCTACCCCTGTTGTTTCAGTTCATTTTTAAATCTGGTTTAGACTGTAGCAGTCTCTCAACAATTGCCTTACCTCTATCGTTAAAATTTTATTTCATTTATTTGTTTATATACCTGGCTCACTTTTGTAATCTATAAAAGCCTTAAGGATAGAATCTATCACCTTTATGAAACCAATACACAGAATCCTCATGAAAGATTCATCGAGTAACAGTATTAATGATTTAGTGAATGAGTGCATGGATGAATGAAATGACTAACACATCCAAACATACATACTTCATTAACTTCATTAATGATGTAGTAGAGAAACCAGGCTTCTTGGTTACCAACAGTCCAGGCACCTTTGGTTATACAGCACATTCTTTAGAAGTGGATATTGTGAGGAATTCTGAAGAACACCCCTTTGAAATGTAAGTGATAACTATGTAATTTAATTGTGAGTTGGTGGTTTTGTAAATCAGTTTTTTTCAAACGAGGGCATATGTATTAGAAAATGGAATCAAGAATTCTAAGCACAGAATAATTTGTTCTGTGACCTACATATAACAAATATAAATATCATAAATATAAAGTGCCATGTGGCAAATGTGTGGACTGGGAGCACCAGGATAGTTTTAGATGAGTATGTATACGTTACTTAATGATATTTTCCAATTGGGATATTAAGGTACATCTGAATTCCATGAACAACTACTGAAAGTTTTAGTAAATATCCCTAGAATAGAAAAGATCAATTCAGTTTAAATTTTAGAGATCTCATTATGGTTAATGACTTTTTAATCTTATTTGTTAGACTTCTCTATTATTACTATCTATTTAAAAATACATAATACATTAACTCTTATATGATCTTGATGCTGATAAAAGAAAGAATATGAGCTGGACATGGTGTATTTGTAGCCAGTCTGGGCTACACAGTGAGTTCTAGGCCACCCAGGACTACATAGAGAGACCCTGTCTCAAACAACAACAACAATAAGCTCAGTAACAGTTGCAATATCCAGCATACTCTCTGGATATGGATTTATATTTTAAAAAGCACTCATTTGTATACAGAATGCACTGACATATTCTGTTAATGAGACTATTTATTAAGCCTGAATATATTATTTGAATAATTCTGATTGAAGTTAGTGCCTTGAGGAAGCAGCTGCTGGGTAACTCTAACCTTGGTTCTCTGTTAGTACCTCAGACACACGTCCCAAATCAAACCTTCTCTTAGCATCCCTCCCTCCCCAACACCATCGATTGGATTTTTTTCTTTCTTCCTAGTGGCATTACTATCTCCCAAATTTTCATGCTAGACAACATGAAACTACTTGCAACCACTCAGGCAATATCCACAGCCAATTGGTCACTACTTAGTTTATCCCTTTCGTTAACCTGTCCCCGCCTTTATTCAGTATTTATTCATACATATAATATGTGAGATGTCTGTAGCAGAGATAAGGAAATGAAGATTAATAAGATGGTAATTTTATTGTAAGAGGTCACAGTATTACAAGAAGAAGTCAGGTAAAAGTCAATGATGTGGTAATAGTTGTTTAACAACTGCCTTTCAAAAAAGTAGAAAACAATAAAAATTGATACCTATTATTTTCCCATTTTCATGGTGTAAATACTCCCACTAGGTGGAACTGGGAAGTGATACTAACAACTGTTCCTTGCGAGCTTGTGCAAACTGACTCCACGACCCCACTAAAAGCCTTGAGGGATGAAAAGACCTATACTGAACACCTGTAAGAAGCTCGGAGTGGGCACATGGGAGGGACTCCAGGTTACTTGGGACAGATTTTACAGGTGCTTGCTTGGCCTCCTAGGGTCCTAAGTTCCAACATGGCGCGGATCTCAGGAGCTGCTGCTGGTTCTCCTCCTGGAAGGGCTGCAGTCTACCACACTGCCACCGATTACCAGGGAGGGGAGGTGCTTCAGGACAACTTCTTTTGAAAATAATTTTATAAGAATTCTTTTGGCAAATATAGACTTCTTTTATAATATAAATAATTAATTAATTCCTAAATTTCATGTATTGTGAGTTAATACTGTCACATATTTCAAGTAAGTGCTTTAAAAAGATCATGTTTATACTTATTTTATAGAAGTTATTAGTGTTCAATTATTAGTTATTAGTGTTTTGTTATGTAATGTCATTAAACAAAAATCAACAAAGTTGAAAGGGTCTGCATGGTCACCTTTATGAGTCCTAAGAGTCCATCTGTTTGGCTTTGTAAATGGTAGAATTGTTTCAGTGAGATATAAATAAAATGTCTTATTAACATTATCCTAAGAACACATGGTTCAGTACTTTGATGCCAACTGATCCTCAGCTCAAACCTGGCACTGGTGTTACTGGCTTTTACCTGCTGATAGACGTGTAAAGTGACTCACTCTGTCATGTCCCGAAATAGTAACTTCTCAGGGCCTTAAGGTTTAAAAATATTTTTCTTCCATCTTAACACACAGCCCACTGTCTTAAGTGGTGCCACTGGGCTGACATTTGAAGCTGCCAAGCAGCACGCATGCATTAGGCAGACAAGGCCTGGCGCATGCTGCTCCAGCCGCTGGGATTGGAAACGCTGGCAGCTCGAGCGGGGCTGCACCATGTCCCAGTGCGTATGGCTTCAGGAAAACCTGAGCTGCTCTTTCCAGGATGGAGACACCTGAGGTTGGAATATGACTATTTTAAGGAAACTGAGAACAATGAATCCTCTTTATGACTAAAAAGAAAAATAGAAAGAAAAAAGATAAAATATTAAGCTAAGAAGTCTTAAAGGAAACTATCATTTAATTTAAAAAGTTAATGCACATAGAGGCGAAATAATTACTAGGAAAGACTATTTTTTAAATAAAAAGAAAGGTAAAAGGACTGAATGGTGGAATTTTTGTAAGAATCATTCAAATAAAGGTACTAAACAACAGTGTGGCAAAGGAGGCTGATATAAAAATGGAGAAATGAAAATCAATAAACAGTCAAAATAAAAAAACAGAGAAGGGGAAGAGAAAGGGTACACAGTGAGAGAAAACAGCCATCAACATTTCCCAGTCCCCGCGGAGGCCACAGTGAGACCACAGAGGACAGGAAGGCTAAGAAGGCGGCTGGAAGCACCACAGCAGCAGCTACCAACACAGAAGGGTCACCAAAACCAAAGCAAAATGGAAAGTTTAGGCCAGTAAGTCAGAAAAAGAATCGGTTCCAAACAGATACTCACGCCAGTGTCCTCAAAGAGTTACAGTCTCATGACGAGTCATTAAAATGAACTGGAATATTATAACATTAACCTATTGAAGTTTGTGTCTAGAAAGGTACCAGTCTCACGCTGGTGTTGGTCCTGCTATTACAGAGAGAAACTATCCTAAAGAGACCAGAAACCAATCACACAGAACTATGTTTTCAAGTACTCTGAGGGCACTTGAAATATATTTCTTGTATTATATGCAGTTATTACTTGAAAAAATGATTATGTCCTTGAGATTTTTAAATCACAAAAAACTGAAGATGAGACCAGGCAGAACAGTGTTCAAATCTTGGGTTAACTTTTTAATGATATGACCTTTGTAAGAAATAAAAATGTAATTTAAAAAATGTTTTTCAAATGAGCTTTTAGATCCTCATTTATAGACTAAAAAAAAAAAAAAAAAAAAAAAAAAAAAAAACCTACCTTGAAAGGAACGGAGTGTAAAGCTAATAAGTACAAAGCTTCTAGGTCAGGGACTAGTCATAACAGTCAAAAATAGCCCAAGAGGTCTAAATTTAAGGGAATGTAATTCAAATCAGCCCTTGAATATTCATTCTTTTAAAAAATATACATTGAAACTACTAAGCTCCAGACACTCGTGAATGTCAGTGAAAAAAGGACAATTCACATGCCAGCATTTACCTACTAACAGAAGGAAACGAACAGTAAATATGCTCAATAAGTAAATGGCGTAGTATGTTTAGAAGCTAATACAATACAGAAGAAAATAAAACAAAATAGAGTAGGGCAAGCATTTGTAACTATCTGAGTACTGCAGCCATAAATGGAGGACAAGAGGAAAGCTGTATCTCTGAGAATAAGATGTCCATGTAGGAATCCTCCAAAGCACATGGCTGGCTAAGTACCCATCTGAATTTTGCAGTGAATGTTACATGGATCGTATCTTGTTATCCATAGGATGAAGAAAGCTAAATTATGTAAGCATCGTAACTGAAATGTTCTCAGAATCACACTTCATTTTGCATGGTATTCTTAACTTCTCTTTTACGTATCAGAGAACTGTCCATTTAAAGCAAAACCAAAGCTTTGGATCTTGTGGTGGTAGCACTCCTTAGGACCATATACACTGTTAAGTCTTCAGGCAGGCTTTCTTTTCTCCATCTTTCAGGGTACTTCCTTATTGTTCATAGTATTTATTTTACTTATTTGCTTCTTGTTTTTACACCACTAAAAAAAAAAAAAAAACCAAACCCTCCATGACATATTTCATCTGTCTCCCCACCACCATTAAATCACATGGCCTAAAAATGCCTTGAGATATAAAACGTATTTTCCATATGATTAAATAAATGAAAGAAATAATTAAGATTTCTTTTTTTTGTGGTACCGGGGATCGAACTCGTGACCTTGTGCTTGCCAGGCAGGCTCTTATGCCACAGAGCTAAATTGCTGCCCTTTTTGTAAGAATTATTTTTAAAAAAGAACCAGTTTGAAAAATTATCAGGTGTGTTAATCCTGCTGTGTGAATTTCATTGGATTAAGAAACATTGAGCAGATTAGTAGAGCAAGCTCTTGGGTGTATCGCAGTGGATCAAGGAGGCATGGCCTTGGGTAGCATGTGTGTTCTTCCCTGGTCCTCTCTGGCACCGTTTCCAAGCTCTGCTTCTATGCTGCCATGAATGAAGTATCATCTGCTATGAATAAAGCATCTTCCACTGTGATATGCCTGCCTTGGACCTGGCCAACCATGGACCAAAATCTCTGAACTGTAAGCTCAACTAAATTTGTCCTTAAGTTGTGAGCATTGGGCATTGTGTCTCAGCAATGCGAAATCTGAGCAATACATTAAAATATATCTGTAATTAATAAAGCCTTTAGAATCCACAGGTGCAATATTTATCATTTCAACAACTGAAGAAAAGTAACTGTAAAGCTGCAGAAATGGGTAACGCTGCAGTCACTGATGCATAGGAGCAAACCACTTAGCAAGGGGAGCATTCTGCCCAGCTGCCTGGCCTCAGAGTAACACACGGCTCTGTCGTTCTCTGCTGTTGCCTGAGCACATCTGTATGGAACAACTTACTTGTGAGAGCAGTGTAAAAGCCTGAGAGTCATGAACCCAGAATTTAGCTTCCTTGCAAAGAGAGTCAAGTATGTAATTCTAGATTAATCAATATTTCTGATATAATTAGTCTTATCATCATGACTAAAAATTATACATTACTTGAAAACTAAAAAAAAAAGTGTTCTTGGAAATTAATACTCTTTAAGGATAAACACACAAAAAAAGCAAAAAATCCTTCAAAATCAAATGCTTGTCTTATATAAGGATAGACATACAGATTGATGGACTAAAACTGACAGTTTAGTAATAACCTATATATCTGTTGTCATTTGATTTTCAAAAAGGTATCAAGACTATCCTATGCAGGAAAGAAAAGGCTTTAAGAAACAGCGTTACAGGGGCTGGGGATTTAGCTCAGTGACATAAATGCCTGGCTTGTGAGTCTAGGGTCCTGAGTTCCATCCCTGGTACCAAAAAACCAAAAACTCCACAGTGTTAAAGCAACTAGACTACCACATGAAAATGAATGAAGTTCAAGTTTTACCTCATACCATCTACAAAAACTGATTCAAATGAATCAAAGACCTAAAAGTAAAACCTAAAACTATAAAAATCTTAGAAGAAAACCACCAGTAAAATGTTCATGATGTTACAGTTGGTGAAGGATTCTTAGATATGATACCAAAAAAAAAAAAAAAAAGGAAGAAAGAAAGAAAAGCAATCATAAGCAGCAAAAACTGTTGTTTCAAATGTTTGAAACATCAAGAAAGTGACACAAAACCCACAGGACACAAATAACTAATAATTAATCTGATAAAAGTCATATATTTAGAAAAAAATAAAAACTCCTAAAGTCAGTAAATAAAAAGGCAAATGATCCAATTGAAAACTGGACAAAGAAACCAGGTGTGGTGGTGCATTCCTGTAATCCCAGCACTTGGGAGGCTGAGGCAGGAGAATCATTTGCAAGTTCGAGACCATCCTGGGCTACAAGTGAGGCCAAGGCCAGCCTGAACTGCATAGTGAGACCCTGTCTCAAAAAGACAAAAAAAAAGAACCAAATAAAACCGGACAAAGAAATTGAACTAAAATATTTCTTCAAGGAATATACACGAAACAGCCAATAAGCACATAAAAAGATACTTGGCATCATTAATCAACAAGCAAAACCACACCAAAACTAAAGCGAGATACCACACCACATTTAATGGCATAGCTATAATCAAACGGTCAGATAATGCCAAATACTTTTGAAGATGTGGAGACAGCAGAACCCTCAAACTCTGCCACTGGTGATGTCCAATGGCTTGTCTACTTTAGAAAGAGCAATGATATGAGCCAAAAATATTACTCCAAAGAATACACCAAAGAACACTGAAGATATATGCCCCATAAAAACTTTACATATGATGTTGATAGCAATAGTATTCATGGTAACTAAAAGAAATAATCAAGATTTCTGCCATTTGAGGAACAGATAAACAAAATGTGATATACCCACCTAACAATATCAAGTCTTAAAAATAAGGTAGTGAATATATGCTATAATATAAATGAAAATATTACGTAACATGAAAGAAGCCAATCACGAAAGACTATATAGTATGATTCCACATATATGAAATGATCACAACAGGGGAATCTGTAGAGAAAGAAAGTAGATCAATAGTCCATGGCTGACAATGTGGTAGGA